CTGTGGAGAGGATGGAAGTGGGGCTGGCAATGGAAATGGCTGAAGTAGCTGGCGCTTGGAGGCTGGGGATAAGGACCTTACCTGGAGGAGACGTGGTCATGCTAGTCCTGGTGACCGCGGTACCATCCACCCTGTAACCAGTTCTACAGAGCTGTCCTTAATTCCCTAACCAGCCCACGATCCTGTCATCATCCTTTTCCTTTTCGGTGGTATTGGGCTTTGAATTGAGGGCCTCGTGTTTGTTAAGCAGGTATTCTGCCACCTGAGAAAGCCCTCAGCCTTTTAAAAAATTTTTTTTGTCGGTTGTGGGATTTGAACTCTAGGCCTGGGCATGTCTATCAGCTCTTCAGCTCAAGGCTAGTGCTCTACCACTTGAGCTACAGTGCCACTCCCAGTTTTCTGGTGATTTATTGGAGATAAGAGTCTCACAGACTTTCCTGCCCTGGGCTGGCTTTGAACCGAGATCCTCAGATCTCAACCTCCTGAGTAGCTAGGATGACAGGCATGAGCCACCAGCGCCTGGCTTTAACTTTTTTTTTGGGTCCAGTCGTGGGGCATGAACTCTGGGCCTGGGTGCTGTCCCTCAGCTCTTCAGCTCAAGGCTAGTGCTCTACCACTTGAGCCACAGCGCCACTTCCGGCTTTTTTCTTTTTGCATATGTGGTACTGAGGAATCGAACCCAGGGCCTCAGGCATGCAAGGCAAGCGCTCTACCACTAAGCCACCTTCCCAGCCCCTGGCTTTAACTTTTGAGTTGGGTGTTGCTTTGTCCAGACTGGTCGTGATGTAATCCTATTTATACCTCTTTCATAGGCATGCCACTATGCCTGACTTACTGAAATAGTAGGTCTCCCTAATTTTTTTTTGGTGGGGAGGTGCCTGGGCTGGCCTCAAAGCTTGATCTTCCCAATCATTGCCTCCAGATTAGGTAGAATTATAGGTATGGGCCATCCCTTTCACAGGAGCCAGAGCCACGCCACAGACTGCATGCACATAGCAGGCGCTAGAAAGAATCAAAGGTTCTCCCCAGCAAAGCCCTGGGAGAGCAACTGTCCTGGGCAGGGGCTTGGGCGGGGTCGTGCCGGCCCCTACTGGGCACTGTCCTGCAGACTGGAGCTGGAATGCCACCTGTTGTTTGCAGGGAGCACCAAGCCAGCCCTAGCTGCAGAGGGAGCTGGAAGAGCTGAGTGAGCCTGGCTGGCACAGACCACCGATGGGTGGCAGGGGTTGGAACTCTGCCATCTCCACAGTGCCAGTTTGTCCAGGACCGAGATGGGCCTTGAAGGACCTGCATGGCTGCTGCCAAACCAGCCTCTGCCCGGGATCTGCGGGCTGGCCTCTGGCCCACAGGCAGTCTTTCTGGTGTGTGGACTTAGGCTTCAGGCAGGGCTGGCCGGCCAACAGCGCTGCTATCTCTTTAAAGTGACTCTGCACTTCCCTGCTCACATCCATTTTGAGTTGCTATGGGTTTAATACTGAGAAGCACTTAGGCTTTGTTTTTTTAGAACTGGGGACCTCTCTCACCACTATACATTACACCTGCCACTACCATGCTCTTTCCATAGTCTCATCAAATAATAAAACTAATACACTCCAACCCATAGATTCACCTGAGGCTTCATGTCTATGTGCAAGGAAAGCTGATTCTCCCGGAGAAGGAAGGGCTCAGCATTTCACCTGAAGACTAAAAAGAGGCGCATTGCTGTGACAGTGGCAGCCACGCTATGAGCGCCGCGGTGGGCAGGCTGCTCTGGGCGGCGATCTCAGGCGCATCCAGCCTGAAGTCTCAGCTGCCTGGGGACAAAAGCAGCTTTTTTTTTTTTTTCCTTTGGTTGGTTGTGGGGCTTGAACTTGGGCCTGAGCGCTGTCCCTGTGCTCTTTCACTCAAAGCTAGCACTCACTTGAGCAACAGCGCCACTTCTGGTTTTCTGTTAATTAATTGAAGGTAGAGTCTTATGGACTTTCAGACTTTGCTGCCTGGGCTGGCTTTGAACTGCAGTCCTCATATCTCAGCCTCTCAAGTAGCTAGGACTACAGGCATGAGCCACTAGCGCCTGGTTTGTCAGATTTTTTTTTTTTGTCAGTTGTGGGGCTTGAAATCTGGGCCTAGACGCTGTCCCTCAGCTCTTCAGCTCAAGGTGAGTGCTCTACCACTTGAGCCACGGCACCACTTCCAGTTTTTTGTTGGTTAATGGGAGCTAAGAGTCTCATGGACTTTCCTTCCCGGGCTGGCCTCAAACTGAGATCCTCAGATCTCAGTAGCTAGGATTAGGGCATCCAGCTTGGCAGATTGTCTTAGCCAGCCCTTCTGAGCAATGCTTCCCCTTTCCAGTCATGTGGCCTAAACAGCGCTCCCTGTGTCATGAACTATCACTGCAGCTACACAGGAGCCGGCCAGTTTGGGGCATCTGTATTAGAAGACTTTGGGGAACTATCTCAGTGGTTTTCTTCAGCATTAAGTACAAAAAAGAAGCTGATTGTATCTCAAGTTTGCCTTTTCCTCCTTTGAGTCGCTGCTGGAACAGTCTGGGAGTGAGGCACAGAGGTATGTGTGTGTGTGTGTGTGCATGTGCATGCACGTGCTCGTGCAGGCACGCTGCAGGTGAGGTTGTCACTCAGGCGGACGCACTGCGGCATGCATTTTCTGAGGGCTCCTGGGAGCCAGGTGCAGCACTTCAAGTTCAAAAAGACAAAGCTGGGGCTGGGAAGATGGCTCAGTGGTAGAGCGCTTGCCTTGCATGCCTGAGGCCCTGGGTTCGATTCCTCAGCACCACATAAGCAAAAAGAAAAAAGCCAGAAGTGGCGCTGTGGCTCAAGTGGTAGAGCGCTAGCCTTGAGCTGAAGAGTTGAGGGACAGCGCCCAGGTCCAGACTTCAGGCCCCACAACTGGACCCCCCCCCCAAAAAAAAAAAAAAAAAAAAGACAAAGCTGGAGTAAAATATAGACCCTAGCCTCATCCCAGAGCTGGACAAAGATAAAGAGGCTTGGGAGAAGGTAAGTCACTTTTCAAAAGTTCTGGGCAGAAGAGGAAGAAATGACACTGCTGGCCGGGGTTGGTGGAGCATCAGGAATGTTCAGGGAAACAGAAACGTGTTCTAGGAAGATGGAGTGACATACCCTAAATTGGTTTCCAGCCCATCCATGTGTGGGATGGACTGGAAACCTGGAAGTTAGTTCCCAAGGCCAAGGCAGGAGGTAATGGGAGGGCCTTGGGAAGAAATTCATGGCCTACTGGGGGCTGCTGGTGCTAAGATGCCTTGCCAAGGCTCTAGTGTTTGTGAGAGAAGATGAGGCAGGACAAGGAGAAAGAACTCTGGTTTGTACTCACCTTGCCTCAGCCACACAGAGGGTACCGGGATCACTCAGGGACCCACAGTGTTGTTTTGCTAGTAAATGATTTGAACTTAGGGCCTTGAGTTTATTCAGCTTGCTTGCCAAACTGGAACTGACTCTTGAGCCACACCTCTAGCCAGACTTGTCACTGGTTATTTTGGAGATGAAGTTTTGTGGACTTTTCTACCCAGCTTAGTTTCAAACCATGATACTACAGACCTCAGCGGCTTGAGTAATCACAATTATAGGCATGAATGAGCCAGTGGCAGCTGGCAGCCCACAGCTTCTGAAGCTGGTAGGGAAAAAAGAATATTTCCCACTAGCTCGGACATGTATTCTAGCTTGATGAACTAGCGCTGATTCAGTGCCCAGCACAATGGTATACTCAACTGTCCTAAAATCTTGACTTCTGCTTAAGCCAGGTTGCTGGTGGCTCATGCCTGTCATCCTAGCTACTCAAGGGGCTGAAATCTCAAGATTATAATTCAGAGCCCGCCCAGAATGAAAGTCTCTGAGACTCTTATCTCCAATAAAGTATACACACACACACACACACACACACACACACACACACACTTGGCCAGGCGCCGGTGGCTCAGGCCTATAATCCTAGCTACTCAGAAGGCTGAGATCTAAGGATCACGGTTCAAAGCCAGCCTGGGCAGATAAGTCTATGAGACTCTTATCTCCAATAAACCACCAGAAAATGGCAAGTGGTGCTGTGACTCAAGTGGTAGAGCGCTTGCCTTGAGCTGAAGAGCTCAAAAAAAAAAAAAAAAAAAAGGAAAAATAAATGCCAACAGGACTTGACATCCCCAGTGAAAGCACTTCCTGTGAGAAAGGGCATCTTCACGGAGCAAGGCTGCAGCAGTCTGCTGGTCTGGGCCCAGGGCGTGAGCAGCCCGGCAGTGGCAGCAGTACCTGCCGTTCTGGGAAGAACCTGAGTTCCATACCCGAGGGCCAGTTCTGGGGAGCACTGTGACCAGAGCTCTGGCAACTATTTCTCCAGTGAAATAGTACCACAGGCCAGGGGGGCTGGGGGTTAGTCCCTCATGGCTCCAAATCAAACTACCCCTTCCCAGGCCAGAGTTTGGGAAGAGAAAGGGGAGGTACAAGTTCAAGGAGGACACACAGGCCTTGTTCAGGGAGGCTGGCGGGCTGGGCTGTGTGAGGGATGGGTGCCAGGTAAGGGAGAACCCCTCGGGCCTCAGACTCTTCCTGCCCAGGGACGTGGGAGTCCAGCCAGGAGCTGGGGGAGGAGCTGGCCAGTTCTGCCGAGCTCATTCCAGAGACTGAGGACTGAGTGGAGGCAGGGCGGGCACCAATGCAGACAACACAGGGTCGTCTCCATCTGGGGTCCTAGGAATGAAGGAAAGAGCAGCAGAGAAAAACTTGGCCTTTCTTGGTCTGGTCTGATCCACAATCCGAGTGTCCTGGCTCCGGGCCTGTCCTTCCGCACAGCGCCAGCAGGGGGCACTGGAGCCCTCTGAAGCCAAGAGCCTAGACCCTCCCCTCAGACCCAGGCCCTCCCCTCAGACCCAGGCCCTGCCCCGACGCAGGCCTAGCTGGGGCATGCTCACATGGCTACCCACTGCCCACAACTGCTAACCTCTCCATCCCCGCCAAGGCGTTAAGCCATGGCTCAAGAACACAGGGAGCCATGGAGGAAAAAAAAAAAAAAAGATTTATTTACTCAGCCTCAGAAGGCACCTGGTTTTTGTTGAGTATAAAAAAGGCAATAAAACGGCAACTGTACAAGGCGCGTGACAGTGGACAAGGCACCGGAAGCAGGGGAGGGGACACGAGAAGGGGGAGGAGGCACACACAGATGGTACACTGGCCAGCCCAGCTCCTTGATAGAGGCACACTTCCCTGTCTCTACCTCAGCCTCTCTGCCAAGGTAGCTCTCGAGCCATTGGGCAGAGGTGGTGCGTGTCCCCTCCCAACTCTCCCCTCAGGCCACCAATGTGCTCCCTCCCCAGGGCCTGGACATCCGGCCGGCCCAGCACGGGCCTTCAGAAAGCAGAAGTCAGCTAGAAGAGCAAACCTCCAGATCAGCCCCGCTCGTCTCTGGCAGAAGGAAGTGGGCAGCACGCGGGCAGTGCAGTCCTTTTGTCCCCCTCAGTCACACAATTGCCCGGAAGAGGAAGGAGACGATGGCCCCCAGTGCCAGGCCCAGACAGAGGAAGAAGGCCATGATGGTGCCTGCCGTCCCGGCCTCCGACGGTTTCACTTTCCTAAGGGAGGGCGGGCGGGCAGGACTATGGCAGGTGGCCTGGCCCTGCCCCAGCCGTGAGAATCTGGGGTTGGGGAGCTAACTATGTGAGCAACCCATCACGTCCCAACCCCGCCCCGGGCCACCTCCTACTGCTCTGCTGTGCAAGCTCAGGGCCCCTCCACTGCCCCGGCTACTGCTCGGATTAGGGTCCTGCCAGCCAGCTCCCCCTCAGCTCTGGTTTTTGTTTTTTTTTGGGTCCAGTTGTGGGGCCTGAACTCTGGGCCTGGGCGCTGTCCCTCAGCTCTTCAGCTCAAGGCTAGTGCTCTACCACTTGAGCCACAGCGCCACTTCCGGCTTTTTGCTTATGTGGTGCTGAGGAATCGAACCCAGGGCCTCAGTCATGCAAGGCAAGCACTCTACCACTGAGCCACCTTCCCAGCCCCTCCCCCTCAGCTCTGGGACCAGCGGTTTCCTCCTGCCCTTGCTCCCTCTACCAAGCGTCCCCACAACCAGTGGTAAACCCAGCCTCGTGCCACCAAGTTCCCCCCTCCCGGGCTGCTCACTTGGGCCCGAAGCACATGCAGAGGCTGGCGAGGTAGCCATTGGAGAAGGCGAAGGCAGCCATGAAGAGGATGAACCAGGCGTCGTGCTGGAAGACCACAGGGAGGTAGTGGCGCGGCTTCACATTGCACAGCAGCAGCAGGGGCACGAACACCAGGCGGGCCACCACGAGGCTCGGCAGCCAGCGGCTGTCCTTTCCGGGCTGTGGGGAACCGGCGGCAGCTCAGCCCCGCTGGCCCCGCAGCTCCACTTAGGACCACTGGGGTCTGGACTGAACCAGATTACGGGGACTTTGGGGGTGGGGGTGGGGAAGATACCAGGCAGGAGGACAGTAGAGCCTTCTGGAGTGCTGGAATGTTCTGTATCTTAATCTGGGTAGGTATTCTATATCTTAACTTGTAGGCTGAAGATTGGCAGACCTAGTTCTATGTAAACTCTATATGGACTTAAAAGAACATCCCTAAACTGGGCGCTGGTGACTCAGGCCTGTAATCCTAGCTACACAGGAGGCTAAGGCCTGAGGATGGTGGGGTGAAGGCAGCCTCCTCTCAAAAACAAACACAATAAAACAGCCTGAGATTCTTATCATAGTCTAACCAGCAAAAAGAAAGCTGAAAGGAGAGGTATGGCTCACGTGGTAGAGTGTTAGCCTTGAGTGGAAAAATGCAACCAAGAGCTCAAGGCTCTGAGTTCAAGCCCCAATACCAGCACACACAAAAAAACAAGCCAAACCAAACATTAAAATAAACATGGCCCCCCGTAACACAGTGCTGTCTTGGGGTTTCCTTTCCGGATCGTGTCTATACTCTTCCTCCCCTCCCCCGTGAGCCCTGGGGCCCTTCTTCCACGTACCCACATGAAAACAGCTGTGAGACTCCGGCCCAGCCAGTCAAAGATATTGAAAGTCAAGAAACAGGACACAGGAATGAAGTACTTTCCTGGAAGAGAATGAGACAAGGGGGGAGACAGAGACGTGACCCCCTTTCCCACTGTCCTCCTGAACAATGGAGAGATGCTTTCAGTACAGGGAAAGGGGAAGAGCGGAGGGGGGCAGCTGGGCAGAGGGAAACCCTGCTCCACACTGCTCGCAGACCTGCCCGGGGCCCTCTGTCCCCAGCCTGGCAAGGGTGGCTTCCTCACCCCAGTCACTGTTGCCTGCAATGCTGGATTTGACCTCAGAGGTCACAGCAGGGAACAAGCCGATGGTGATGGTGAAGATGAAGCAGACGGAGAAAGCCAGGACTGAGATCTGGAGAAAGGGGAGGGGATTCACCCAGCTCCCTGTGTGCTCATGATGGCTGACAGGATAGAACACCAACTCCCACCTGAGACTCCCGTGCGCACGCACATACGCATACACGCACACACACGCATACATACACACACACACACACACACACACTCCACTCTAAAGGAGGACTAGTCTCAAAAGGAAAATGGGGCAGGTGGGAGGGTACACCCATCTCACGTTCTTGAGGATGGCTTTGACAGAGTGGCTGGTGGACTGGGAGGTGGGGACCGTCACCCTAGACTCTTCTTTGATAGCTCTTGCCTCCTCTCCTGGGGGCTGACAGGCTGTGGAAGGATCTTGAAGGCATGGAGAGGACAGAGAAACCAGCTTAACTGGAGGTAGACAGCCCTTAACAGGTCCATGACTATACCCTCACACTGCCCAGCTCTCCCCTCCAAATCCTCTTAGCCTGAGCCTCCTCTGCTCCTATTACTACGGGTGTTTCCCCCTCCCCCAGCCAGGGCCTCAAGTCCACATGCCTGGCGCTCAGGACCAGCCAGGGGCTCCCACCGTGACTCCTGCTGCCCCTCCCAGCTTCCTCCGGCCACTGACACCTTTACTGATGAGGTCCAGCTTGGTCTCCTGCTCCCCGGGCCCCTCCAGCCTGAGCTGCTGGTAGTAGCGGTAGAATTCCTGTCACGTGGGGGGACAGGTAGTTAGGGAGAAGCCTGTGTCTCCCCCAGGTTCTGCCACACAACCCCCCCCCCGCCCCCAAACTTTCTCCCTTCCCTCACCAGCTGGGGCAGGGCCAGGTAACAGATGATGGCCAAGATGACGACCACGCAGGCTGTGATGAAGTACCCAAAGGCACTGTCCGACAGCTCCGACTTGCCTGGGAGAGGCAGCGCTGTGAGCAGAGGCAGGCCCTGCCCTCCCCTGCCCCCCCAGCCACGCCAGCCCCGTGAGGACTCACTGGCGATGGCACAGATCATGGCCACAGAGGCGAAGAAGCCGGCCAGGCCCTGGCCACTCATGATGGGAGCTGTGTAGCTGGTGGGCAGGAGGCCGGCCAGACCGAACAGGCTTCCCTGGAGGATGGCGCCGAACGCTGCGGAAGACAGCAGGCCTCAGCAGGGATGGGGGGCGGGGGGAAGGAGCCGGGGGTGCAGGGGCCACAGGAAAGCAGGTCCTGCGGTTCCCATGTGTGCCCAGTGAGTCAGGAGGCTAGGCTGCCCTCCTCACTGGCCCCCCCAACCAAAGGCCATGCTGCTCAGGCTCGACTCCAGGTGCCCATGGCGTCCTCCCCCGCTCCCCACTTACAATTAATGAATACTATCTTGACCATGGTGATGACAAAGAAGGGGAGAGGGTCCATCTGCACCTTGACCAGGACAGCAGTGACCAGGAACACCAGCAGGATGGCCACCAGGCTGCCCAGGATCCGCACAGACTGGGAGACCCTGAGGGAAAGGCCAGGGGGGTGGGCTGGGGCTGAGGCGGGGTGGGGCAGGCTGGGGCTGAGGCTGGGGGGGGGGGGGCAGGCTGGGGCTGAGGCGGGGGAGGATATGCTGGGGCTAGGGGAGGGGGGAGGCCGAGGCTCAGGCAGGAGGTGGGGGGCAGGCCAGGGCTGGGGCTCAGGTGGGGGGCAGCAGGCAGCAGGGGCCTGGCTGGCAGCTGGGGCGGGTGGTGCTCACTTCTGGTGCAGGAAGGAGTTGAGGCAGGCAAACACCAGCAGTGGCAGCATGGCACACAAGGTCATGACATTGTTGAAGATGGCACTGAGAGAATTCCTCTCTGGCAGAGGTGGTGCGGGGGTGGCCTCAGCCTGGGCGTCCTTGCTCAGCTGAGCAGTGACCAAGGACACATTGCTGGGGACATCCAGGCGGGTGGTGAAGTACTGCAGGGGAAGGGGAGGGAGGGTTGCAGACTATTTTTTCCGGCCCCGGCACGGACCTGAGGCCTGCAGGTCCAGGGGCCCAGCCCCATCCTGGCTCAATTCTTTCCCAGACTCACCCTAGTGGCCGTCATGAAAAAGTTCCAGGGGAGCAGCGTCCCCAGGCCCAGCATGAAGAAGATAAGCCAAACAGCTTTGTATCTGGGAGAAGAGGAAACAGGGACCACGTGACACAACACCGGACGCTCCTCAACCTCATCTCCCTGCTGGCCCAGGTCCATGCACGTGTATGTGCCAATGTGTGTGTGGGGGGGGGGTCAGGTGGGAGGAGTAGGTGGGAGGGTGTGTCCTAGGCCTGGGAATGGGGCAAAGATGAGCCAAGGGAAGGGAGCCAGTGACTGGATGGCATGGCACCTTTGGTGCCAGTCCTGGAACACTCAAGGACCCCTCAGCCTGGGCACTGGGCCGTGTGACCCACATGGTAGAGATGGTTTTGGAACTGAGGGGCTGGGGCGGGTGGCTGAGAGAGTGAACAAACATCCCTCCCCCACCGGGCAGGCAGGCTATGAGCAGGCTGCCTGGCCAGGAGTCGTGTGGTTCCCTGAAGAGGGTTCTGAGGTCAAGAAACTCCCAGATCATTCTGGCCCTAGAAGAGTGGACGGAGTGCCTGGGAAGTGAGCAAGCTCCAGACAGAACTGGCTTTGCGGGTCACACCGCCTAGGGCAGCAGGTCTGAGCCACTGGACGTCATCTGGGTCTGAGGATAAATAAGGGCCATCCAGACTTGGCCGGGTCTCCGTCCTCTAAGTAGGCCTTGCCTGCAACCTTAGTGACCCACCATGGTCACCAGATGTCTGCCACAGCCTCCCACAGCCAACACCCTGTGCTGATAGCACACAGGCCTGGCCAGGACTCAGGAACCTGGACTACCACAGGCCTCCTGTGGGTAACCCAAACCGACAGTCTAAGCTATTCCCATCAGTCCTCAATGCCTTCATATGCTACCTTTGTGCGGGGGAGGGAGGTGTTAGTTCTGGGACTTGAACTCAGGGCTTGGACACAGTCCCTGGAGCTTCCCACTCAAGGCTGGTGCTCTAGCACTTTTTTTTTTTTTTTTTGCCAGTCCTGGGGCTTGAACTAGGGCCTTGGCAATATCCCTGAGCTTCCTTTGTTCAAGACTAGCACTCTACTACTTGAGCCACAGTGCTACTTCCAGTTTTTTCTGTTGTGATTCTGAGGAATTGAACCCAGGGCTCCTCTAGGCAAGCACTCTACCACTAAGCCACATTCCCAGTCCTCTACTTTTTTTTTTTTGTAGTTAATGGGAGATAAAGAGTCTCATGGAACCTTGATCTTCAGATCTCAGACTCTTTTTTTTTGGTGGTTGTGGGGCTTGAACTCTGGGCCTGAGCGCTGTCCCTCAGCTCTTCAGCTCAAGGCGAGCACTCTACCACTTGAGCCACAGCGCCACTTCCGGTCTTCATGGACTTTTTTGCCCAGGCTGGCTTTGAACTGCGATCCTCAGATCTCAGCCTCCTGAGTTGCTATGATTACAGGCGAGAGCCACCAGCGCCAGGCTCTCAAACTCTTGAGTAGCTAGGATTATAGGCATGTGAACCACCAACACCGGCTCCTCATCAGCTACCTTTAAAACACTAAAGGCCTGGTTCAGAGGCCCAGATGCAGGGGAAAACTCCAAGGCAAGGTCAAACAGGGCAGAGACAGAAGAGGGGTCAGGAAACCAGGGCAGCACAACAAGGGGGTGAGTGGGAAGAGGGCTTCAGGGAACAGCCAAGAAGGAGGGCTGGCTAGGGCACCACACCTGGCCAGGCCCAGCCCAGGACTGTCGGCACATGATGTCCCTTCCCTATGAAGCGACAGCCCCACCTGCATTTCACAAGTGGGGAGATGGTCTCACAGAGGTGGAGCTAAGCCTTCAAAACCCAGAAGTGCCTGGCCATACTTTGGCCTAGGAGGAGACACAGCGGACAGGGAGAGGTGAACAGCTTGAGGGCCTGGCGTAAAGCACAGGCCGGAGATCTACAAGGAATGCTGGTACTACTTCATCGTTTTTTTCCCTTTTCTTTTTTTCTTTCTGTGCCAGTACTGTGGCTTGAACTCAGGGCCTAGACGCTGTCCCTCGGCTTTTCCACCCATGGCTGGTACTCTACCACTTGAGCTACAGCTCTACTTCCATTTTTTGGTGGTTAATTGGACTAAATCTCAGACTTTCCTGCCCCAACTGATCCTCGAATTTCCGTCTCTTAAGTAGTTAGCATGTCAGGCATGAGCCCTAGCGCCCAGCAACTTTCTGAAACCCTAGGTCCATCGGAGAAATGGAATCAATGGCGCCTCTTCCTCGAATAATTCATCCTCCTGACCCCGGCTGCAGGTCTAACTGGAGGGAGTTCAGACAGGCTCCACAGGCAGGAAGGGTAGATCACGAAGCAGGGTGGCGGAGGTTATCTGAGGCAAAGGTTCCAGGGCAGCCCCCAGGGACAGGGCAGTTCTGCCAGATGTGCTCTGGAATGAAGGCCGCTGCCAAGTGTCTCCCACAGCGGTGGCGGGAAGAGCCAGAAGCTGCTGGCTGGCTGAAGAGCAACAGTGGAAACACTGACAGGCTAGGCAGGGGCTGGGGCCTGCCCTGCCCACTCTGCCCACCTTCCTTGCAGCCAGGAGCGCATAGTCCTGACTCAGAGTTACCTGGGTGGGGGCCAGTCATGGAGGCAACCTATATTCCAAAGACCAAGAAAATGGGCCCCATGGAGCCCTATCATTCATTCTCTGCATCCCCAGCCCAGCTCCACCACCCTCGCCTCACCCCACCCCTAGGTACCTGTCCTGAGGCTGTTGACTGGTTGTCATGCTGCCAGGGTGCTGGGCTGTGCCGGGGTGCTCTGCTGTGCCTGGCTGGCAGTTCTCTCCGTCTGGCGCTTGCTGGGGGTCAGAGGCAACGTGAGGCCAGGCCTTGGTTCTCCTTCAGCTGGACACGAAGCCACGGGGTCCCACCTTTCAGGACCACTGAGCTGGGTCCCACCCGCCCGGGCTGACGGCCCCCTCCCTCCCCGCCTGCTCAGACTCCAGCGGGCTCTGGCCTGACCGCTGCTGCCACCGCTATTTTTATCCAGAAGCCAGGGCAGTTAATAAGCTGAGAAGCAGGAGGGTGGAGAGCAGAGAGAGGAGAAGGAAACAGGATTGAGAGGCAGGAAGAGACAGTCAGACAGTGAGACAATGCAAGGACAGATAGGAAGACAAAGGACAGAAATCAGTGGAGGGCAAAGATTGGGGGGAGGGGAGAAGACGCCAGATGGAAAACAATCAGATCTGCAGGCAGGCAGAGGCCGCTCAGGACCTTTCCACCTTCCCACCAGCCCCCAGCAGAGGCTAGGCAGGGTTTGGGAGTGCCAGTCCCCTCTTCAGGGGACAGGGGACCCTGAGCACAGCTGCACCTATATATTTCTTTCCAACCACTGCCTAGGGGCTTTCTAGTTCTCAACCCATTTTCCAGGAAAGTATTTCATAATGGGTACAAAGACACACTCCTTTCCATAGCCCAGCCCCATCCACCTCTGACCCCCAGTCCTGACCCCAAGGTCCTCCCATCCCCCCCCTCAGTTCCTCTCTGACCCCGGCACTGAACTCTTCCCCTTTCTTAGAGTGGCCTTCAAGGGAATATTGGAAGGGGTGGGGGTCAGGCCCCAACTGGATAGTCCCAAAGCTCCAGGCACTTTGTCCAGGTTGCCCTCTATACCCCTCTCAGGCAGGGAGGGGAGTACCCCACTCCAGCAGATCTAAGGGCTAGGAGCCTTCTCAGCAGCTAGCAGGAAACCAGGCCAGCATGCCCCGTCCATCCCCTTGCTGGCCCAGCTCTGGGCCAAGGCTGCTGTCCAGAGAAGAGGCCAGGCTTCCCCAGTACCCTGTCCCTGAACTCACCGGATGTACAGAGTCAACAGATGGAGGGGAGCCAAGAGAGCCCAGCTGGTCCCTAGGAAGGGGTCCTATCTCAGGCTCAGGCACGAGGCCTGGTCCACCGGGTCCTGCGTGGGGGTCCAGAATGAAGAAAGGTAGCACAGGACACATCAGGAGAGAAGACTCAAAGCCAAGTGCTGAGAAGCAGAGGGAGATAAAGCCACTAGGTAGCAGGGAGATAAGACAGCTGGGAGTCTCAGCAGGAGAGCAGGGGGCGGGGCAGATGAGCTGCAAGGTGCAGCCTACCGAAACCAATGCAGCCAGTGGCCCCTCTGTGGGCTTCTCCACCCTTCCCATAGCCCACCCTCGGTGACCCCCACACACTCAGATGGTCTTCCTCAGCCCCCAACACACACACCGGAAATGCAGAGGGGAGGGGCTAAGCACACACCTCCGGTCAGAGCACTCCTTCCAATCAACAGGTCTTCCTCAATAAGCACTTCTGCATGCCAGCCAGCTTCTGCTCTAGGCTCTGGAGAACACAGTGGTTGAACAATAGCTGCTGGCATTTCCTAGAGAACCTGAGGGCTTTGCCGGGGACTGGAGAAAACCACCCAGGACTGAGGTTTCTACTGGACAGTATGGAGGGGACCCCCCCAACCACACCCACCCCTCCACACAGCCCATGCTCCAGCCCCTCCTCCCCACAAGGCAAAGTTAGACTAGAGAGGCTGGGGTGGAATGAAGAGCTGCCTTCCGTCAGCAGGACTAGCCCAGGCTGCAAGATCAGCCCTCCCCCTGCTCTCAGCGGTGGGCATCTCAGTCCTGCAGCCCCTCAGGCAGCCTACAGTCCTGCCCTCCTGCTAGCATTCCATTCTGCCAGCCAGCCAGCCTTGCGGTATGTTCTTGTGGCACTCACAGGTCCTGGGGCTTGAACTTGGCCTGGGTGTTGTCTCTGAGCTCTTTTGGTCAAGTCTAGTGCTCTATCACTTCCAGCTTTTTGGTGGTTAATTGGAGATTAGAGTCTCACAGACGTTCCTCTCAAAATTCCCAGATCTCAGCCTCTTGAGTAACTAGGATTACAGGCGTGAGCCGCTGGCGTCTGACTTTCTTGTCTGTCTATGACAAGCAGCAAACCAGAAAGTGCTATCAGCTCAGAGCATCTGGTGACCAACCCTTCAGCCACAGAAATGGGGCAGCCACCAAAGGGAGCCCCTCCCTGTGCTGGGGCTCCCAACACTTCTCAAGTACCCCAACTTCTACACAAACCCTGGTGCTACATCTATCTCCATTCCCCAGGATCCCAGCTGTTACCTGTGTAAGCCCCCCTTCCCCCACCTCACCAGACCCGCTTGCCTCCTAATTACCCAGCTGCTGGCGGAGGCTCTGAGAGGTTGAGTCACTTGCCTAAAGCCACAGAGCTATTACGGATTCAAACTCAATACACAGCTTATTCTAGGTTCCTTGTGGGGTGGCAGGGGAGGGAGGTATAAAGACGGCTTCTTCCCAGCTAGCTGGGGAACCCGGCAGGCGGTCCCTCTGCTCCCATGAAAGGGGAAAACTAGGGTGGAGGTTCAGGTCATTCTCCCACATCCCATCACACACACGCACGCACACACACACGCACGCACACACTGCCCGGCACGGAGTCCTCACACCCCATCCAGGGCCAGACCCAGGGTCTGCAGACGTCCAAGAGGAGTGGAGGGAAGGCTGGGAAGAGGCCCGGGGCCGAGTGAGGGGCCGGGGTGGAAGCAGCCGCCGCGGCTCGGCCCGAGGCAGGGAGCCTGGAGGGCGCGTTCGCGTCCCGACACCCATTTATTCACTCTCCCGGGCAGCACACGCGGACGCGCCCCGCGGGGCAGGCCGGGAAGGGAGGTGAAGGGACGGACGCCCCCCGCCCGGTGTCCCCGCCCGCCGGCGCGGCCCCTCCCCAGCACCGACCGGGCCGAGCGGGGATTAACCGTCCCCCCGCCGGCCGCTTGCACAGGTCAGCGTGGCCACAACCGTTTTCGGGCCCTGGAGCTAGCAGGCCGCCCACGCCCGGGCTCGGCCCGCGTCCGCCCCGGGTTCCCCGGAGCCCCGGGCCGAGTGCGCCACGTGCGGCGCGCCTCCGCCCTGCACGCGCCGCGCGGGGGCTCCACCGCGTCCCGGGCCAGGCCTGCCGGCCAGCGTGGCAAGCAAACACCAACAGCCGCCTCCGGTCCACCCTCACCCGGCCTCCCCCCGGCCTCAGCCCGGCCCCGGAGCACCTGCTGGAGAAGACCGCTCCCGCGCGCGCGGACATCGGCGCGCTCTCCCGCCAGCGTCCCGCACCCGCCCTGGCGTATTCAAACCCGCCCTCTCCTAGCCCCGCCCACCCTCCCACGACTCCGCCCCCACAGGACGAGCCACGCCCACACCCGCAGGCCCGCCTCTCGTTTGGCTCCGCCCCCGCCAGTGCCGGTCCCGCCCCTGACCCCGCCCCTCGCGAGCCCGTCCCGCCCCTGGACTCGGCGCGCCGGAGCCCCGCCCGTCCGCCCCCCTCTCCCCGCGGCTCCGGGTCTCCCCAGCTCCCTCTCCGGAGACCCTGCGCCCCGAGGCCGCGTGACGGTGATTGATACTTCCGAGGCTGGTCCCCACCGTGGCGCGCGCGGACCTGGGGGACAGTCCCACACCGCGGACACCTGGCGCAGACCAGCCCTCGGCTCACCCGGCCCGACGCCCCCACAGCCACCTCAGGCGTCCCCCCCTTGCCCCCCTCCCCCTCCCCCCCACCTTCCGTCCCAGCCTTCGCCCCACTCCGACCAGGCCCAATGATGCCTTCTTCCTTTCAGATCCCCTTTCCTTGCAAGACTTTGTGGTCCTCCTGGTGGGATTCCTGACTTAACTGTCTCAGACCACACTCACAACGCCCACAACTTTGCCTTGAAGTTGGGGCACAACCCTGCGCGCCTTTTATTTTTATTTTATTTTGTGCTGGCAATCAGGTCCTCCTGATCTTACTTGAGTATTTCACTCAAAGCTGGGGCTCTACCACTTGAGCCACAGCTCTGTTTCCAGCTTTTTGCTGGTTAACTGGGAATAATAGACTGTCAGGTTTTTCTGCCCAGTCTGGCTCTGACCCTCCATCCTCAGATCTCAGTCTCCTGGGTAACTTGGATTACAAGGGTGAGCCACCAGTGCCTACCAAGCCCAAGGGCTGGGATCACAAGCCACAATGAGCCTTACATCCTCTAGAGCATGATGTCCTAGATTGAGATGGTACCCCTCAGGGAGCAGAGAGACAAGACAAGACAGTAAATAGAGAGGGGTCTTTTTTTTTTTTCCCCGCCAGTCTGGGGCTTGAACTCAGGGCTTGGGCACTGTCCCTTGAGCATTCTTTCACTAGGTCTAGCACTCTACCACTTGAGCCACATTCCCAGCCTGGGGAGGAGGTCCTGGTAAGAGGAAAATCCCTACCCAAAAGGCCCATCTCACCCTCATCGACTCATGGGGCCTGTTCCCTGGAGAAACCATACATACTAATTAACAATTAGCCCTTCTGACATCTTTGAGACAAGGTGACACTGCACACTCTCCCCAGAGAAAGACAGGGCCCTGAAGAGAGACAGCGGAAATTCTTAGCAGTGTGGGCTCTCCTTACGTTACTCTAATTGGGGTGTCTTTGGTATTCTGCCTTTCTTCCTGTGGCGATGACAAACATTTTCCCCCAAGCCCTAAGTGAAACAGGACAGGAAGACAGGCTCAGGTGGTATTTTTCTAGGCACTGCCCCATGGTTTGGAAGTGGCTTCATGTCTGTCCACAACCCCCAGATTCCCACCCTCATGTTTGTCCAGTCTCTCTCTCTTCCTCTTCTGGCCCTGGCCTCTACTCTCCCTTGGCCTCCTGCTTCTCTCCCACTTTCCTGTTCCAGCTCTGACTCTGGCTGGTATAGTGGTCACCAAGATCCACCAAGCTGGGGGCAGTCAGCCACAGTTGTATACAACAGAAGCTGGAAGTGGAAACACATGGGAGGGAAGGGATGAGAGTCCCTGCCAGACTGGGCAAGGCTGGTTCCTCTCTCCACTCCTGCTGGGGCCTGGCCGTCTGTCTCAGTGGATGGCATCAGCCAGGCCTATTATTGTTGGAGTGCAGCCCATCTGGCTTGGTCCTGGCTTGAGCTCCAGCCAGCACCCACACCCTTCACTGTGATCTCCCCCAGACAGAGAGCTTGCTGGTTGCCACAGACCTCTGCTGGACAGGCCCTGGAGCCCAAACTCACACAGGCTTGGGCCTGGGGTTTTTCTAGCCAAATCCTCTTCTCCCTCTGTCCAAGCTCAGGCTTCTCCCCGCTTCCTGCAGGTCCCCAGGTGGCTGACCCAGAGGTGGAGTGGGAAGAGCTGGGCCAGCTGACCCCTGCTCCCCACCTCGTGTTGTACACCGCCTCCTGATTATGCTCGTCCCAGATTCTCGCACCCCACACTCCTGCCGAGGGAGGCTTGTCATATCACACAGGGAGTCCTAGCACACCTCAGTCCTGGGTGGGTTCCCCTGTCACCAAGAGTCATCTATGTTTGCTGGAAGTGTGTTTGCTTGGCCAGGAGAGGGGGTTCCTTGTGATGTTATCTCTCTGGTGGCTAGGACTAGGGAGAGAGATGCCCTGGCTTGAGATGCCAAGTGTAGGGAGACTGCCCCCCCCCGTCACACACCATAAAAATTCAGTAACCACAGTCTGGGAAGGTGGCTCAGTAGTAGAATGCTTGTCTCTCATGCATGAGGCCCTGGGTTCAATTCCTCAGCCCCACATAAGCAGAAAAAGCCTCGGGTGGCACTGTGGCTCAAGTGGTAGAGCGCTCGCCTTGAGCTGAAGAGCTGAAGAACTGCACCCAGGCCCAGAGTTCAGGCCCTACGACCAACAAAATAAATAAACAAATAAACATTTTTAAAAAGTAAAAAAAAAAATCAGCAATGGGGGAAATTTCAATGCAGTGTGGTCTTCAATCCTGTTTTGTTTCTTTAGTGGACCTGAGGATCAAACGCAGGGTCTAGCACAAGCCACAGGCAGCCCTAATGTAGAGGTTCAAAACCGAAGTGAACACCAAGAAACCGTGACAATACAACACGGACACCTTAGATAACAGGTTGCTCTGGGTCAGGGTTCAAGAACACTTGTCACCGGGTCTGGGCCTGGTCTTCCGGCCTGATTGTTCAGACCTCGGCCGGTCTCTGCTCAGGCAGGCCGCTTGCCTGGGGAGGTAGGGAGGGGGCGGTCACCCAGGGTGGTCCACACCGTCCAGCGAGGCCAGGGACGGCCCCTGCGGCCAGCCCCGCCCCTCCCCGGCACCTGCTGAGGCTCCGTCGGGGACGTCGAGACTCGGGCGCAGGGCGGAGCTCCCAGGCCCGCGAGCCCGGGACACCCTCTCCTCCCCTGCACCTCGGCGGGACTGACCGGTCCCTGCTGGCTCGGGGACAGGGGCGGCCCCGGCCTCCGCCTCCCGCCCCGCCCGCCGCGTCTCCACCACCCCCGCCCCGCCTCTCGGCGCCGCCCAGGGACGCGGCGGGAAGAACAAAGGCCTGGTGCGAGGGCCCCGCGCGGGGCTGCCCGCTCCCCCAGCACCCCCCTCCCCCCACCGGCCGGGCCCTGCGCTGCGTTTGATCGACGGGGCGGGGCCGTCTAGGGCGTCTGGCCCGCTAGCTGGGCGCCCGCTTCCTCCCGACTTAGGCCTTTGAGGGGTGCAGGGACCACAGGGGATCCCGGTGGAGGCTAGAGGCGGGGTCCCCGCACAGGGCCCCTCGCAAGGGAACAAGATGCAAATCACCCGGAGACTGGGATGCAAATATGTCCAGCAGCTCATTTCGGTGTCTCTCCAGGGTCACCGCCCCACCTCCTCTTGGAGGCCTGTCTGCACTGACCCCTGGGTGGCCACAGGGTCCTTCTACAGCGCCACCGGTGGCCCAGATGGCTCGGAACTTGCTCAGGGTTTTTGTTTGTTTCTGTTTTGTTTTTTTCAGCTAGAGTCTCATGAACTCCTCTACCTGGGCTGACCCTGCACAGTATCTCAGCCTCCTGGGCAGCTAGGGTTTCTTGCAAGAAGAGCCACTGGCATCCAGCTGTTTTGGACACTTTGAGACAAGATCTGCCTAGGTAGCTCAGGCTGGTCTCAAACCCAAGATCCTCCGGCCTCCACCTCCTGTCCCAAGCACTGGGATTCCAGGTGTGTCATCTTCTTTCTTGTGAAAGATAAAACACTAGAAACACCAGCTTAGGAGGACCGAGAGGAAAAGTGGACACGCCAGGAAGGCAAAGCCGGCATGTGGCCTCTTTGGCTGTCTCCTCCCTGGCTGCCTGGCCAGGTTCAACAGCCTACAGGGTAGAGTATGGGTGGTGAGACTTTCAAAGGCATGCAAGTTATGCAACAGATATTTATTGGGCAATTGATGGATGAATCTGCCTTCAAAGAGAACCAGGTCAGATTGTTTTGAGCGAGGTTCTGAATAGGAAAGACTGACAATCAGATTCAACTATCTCTTAGCTAAATTGCTACTTGTCCCAGAATAAACTTTCCTCACAAGATCTGGATGGCCCCATTGGCTGGAAGGCCAGGTCCCTCCTGGGATCAAGGTGATTAGGGGTGACTAGGGGGAGGTCTTTGGGAGGAAGTCAGGGTGTAGGGGAAGAGGCAGAGATGGAACACATTTTGGAGATGCTAATGAAGGAGAGCTGGCCAGGTCAGGCCAGGCCCACTCCCAGCCCCAGATCTGCCCACTGAGCAAGCATCCTGCCATTAGTGCTGGCGCCCCAATGTCCTTGTCCAGGGAGGGGGGTGTGGAGCATTTTGATGGAGAATGTTGTGGCAGGACTCGAGGCCTCACTTTTGGACGCCTACCCTCTCCCTCCTGTCCCGTCGGTCCATCCTGGAAGTGTCCCCAGCCTCCGGCGGGTGTTGATGGCTGAGGATGAAGAGCAGACAGCCAAGCACAGCCTCACGCATGTTCTGGGAGCCTAGGCGGTGGGCCAGGCCGCGTAGCAGGGGCAGGAGGTGCTGGCGGGCCGCGCGCGCCAGGGGCAGCAGCAGGCGAGAGAGCAGCACCCGGAGCAGCAGCGGAAGCAGTGGGGCGGGCATGGCGGGGTCAGCACCTGCAAACGCAATGCGGGCAATCCAGGCTTCAGGCTTGTACTTCCTGCTCCCACTTCACCTGGCAAAGCCTCGGGCTGGGCAGGAACTCCCGACTCCCTTCTGCGTACACTTCTGCATTCCCAATCTTCAATTCATGAGCCAGGTTTATTCCGGTGATGTCCTTTCTCCTGGCAAGGTCAGGAGTTCTCACCCTGAGCCAAGGCCGGAAACAGGAAAGCTGGGGCCAGGACCCCCAGCTGACCATTCCTTGCTTCCAGGGCTCCAACTTTACCCTCCCCCCTTCCCTACCTCTAATCACCCCTCTTTCTGCATGTCCTCCACCCCCTGCCAGCCCCAAACCCTTCCCCCTCCAGCCAGCAAGGTTCTTGCCCAGGCAATTCTTTTTTGTGTGTCAGTACTGGGGCTTGAACTCAGGGCCTGGGTGCTGTCCCTTAGCTTTTTCAGCTCAAGACTGTGTCCCTCTAGCACACCTCAGCTTTCAGTTTCCTGATGGTTAATTGGAAATGAGTCTCATGGATTTTCCTACCCTGGCTGGGAAAATCTATCCACAATCCTCAGATCTCAGCCTCCTGGGTAGCCAGGATTATAGTTATGAGCCATCAGGCTCTTCTCCGGGTAATTTTAATTTTTCTTTTGGAAGTTCTTGATCCACCCATACCTGCCCTCCACCCCCTTCCCATCCCCAACCTCACCATTCAGTGGCTGCTCTCACCAGTCAGAACAAGTCTCAGCATCAGCCTCTGCTCGATTTGCCTTCAGAGACCACGTAGCTGGATCCAAGGTCTGGATAGCCCCACCCCATCCCACCCAGTCCCACCCAGCTCAGCTTGCCGAGGGGGTGGTGGTGGTGACAATAAGAGACAGCTGAGGTCCAGCACCTGGCACATTGAAGGGGCGGGGCCAACAAAGCTGCACTTTCTTCTGGTCTAGGAGAAGGGGGAAGGAAAGTGGGCCCTTTCTAGTTGTGTGGTAGGCCCTAAGCACTTGAGTCATGTGAGCTTCAATCCCGGCACCTGCTACCTCAGTTACTGGGAGGAACTGTGAGTATCTGAGCCGGCTAGTTACACAGGAACTTAGACCCTGCTTCTGCTGAAAGGCACTGACACTTCCTGTGGGTCTGCACATGTGCAGAGATAACTAGCAGCTCAGCTTCCCTGACTGCATCTTAGCTGCAGGCACGGCTCTGAGCCATTCCTTCCTGCAGTCCATCTAGCAGCTACCTTGGAACCTAGGAGGACAGGATGGATGGATAAATGTCCAAACTAACTCTCACAGGCAAAAACGACGTCTCTGGTCACAAGGTTCTGCCTGGCCAACCCTCAAATAATCAATGTCCAGATGGCCTGTGTCCACTGAGACAGTTATGTATTTCTCTCATCTCCATTCAGTTGTGTGTGTGTGTGTGTGTGTGTGTGTGTGTGTACATGCACGCATGTGTTCCTGGTCCTGGGGCCCAAACTCAGAACCTGGGCACTGTCCCTTAGTTCTTTCTTTCAAGGCTGGTGAGCTACCACTTGAGTTACAGCTCCACTTGCAGCCTTTTAGTGGTTAATTGAAGATAAGAGTCTCACAGGCTAGGCACCAGTGGCTCATGCTGTAATCCTAGCTACTCAGGAGGCTGAGACCTGAGGATCCTGGTTCAAAGCCAGCTCGGAGACTCATCTCTAATTAAACACCAGAAAACCAGATGTAGCACTGTGGCTCACAGTGATAGAGCACCAGCTTTGAGCTGAAGAGCTCAGGGATAGCACCCAGGCCCAGAGTTCAAGCCCTACAACCGACAAAAAAAAAAAAAAAAAGTCTCACAGATTTTCCTTTCCAGACTGGTTTGGAACCATGATCTGTAGATCTCACCCTCCCAAGTGGCTAGGATTACAGGCATGAACCACTGGTGCCTGGCTAGTTAATTTCTTTATTTGCTAATACTGGAGTTTGAACTCAAGGCCTCAAACTTGCTCTTTGCTTTAGTTTATGTTCAGATAAGGCCTTGAACTTTTTGCCCACGTGGACCTTGGATTATGACCCTCCTTCTGTGTGGGAGATTTGCACCACTATGCCTGCCTTTATTTGTGGATAGGGGGGGTCTTGTTTACTTTGTTTTTTCTTTTTTTTTTTCTCTCTCAGCTAGCTTCAAACCTCAATCTTTCTGATTTCTATCTCTGGACCAGCTGGGATTACAGGTGTGAGTCACTATGCCTGGCCTTTTTAAAAAATCTATTTAAGCCTAAGGCTCATGTCTATACTACTGAAGATGGACTGATCTGCTTACTTTGCCTTTTCCTGTGGCATGCCATTCCACAATAAGTCTCCTTTCTCTGCCCTGCACCACTACTTGCTTCTTTATTTGGGAGATTAGGATAAGTGACTGGACCCGACTTGTTGGGCCCTAGAGTTGGGCCTCTGGCTAGAATTCTGACTACATCATGATCATGAGACTGGATTGGGCCTTGCTACACTCCGATGAGATAATGGCCCTGAAGCTGACCTTAGAAACTTCAAAGCCTTGGCATATAACTCATTTATCGCTAAATACTGAACAACAACATATACCATCAAAAACCCCAAGATCAGTCAGGCACCTATGGTGCCTGACATCTGTGCTTCACATCTGTAATTCTGGCTATCAAAAGGCTGAGATCTGAGGATCTAAGTTTGAAGACAACCCAGACAGGAAAGTCTACAAGCCTCCATCTCCAAAATAAACAGCAAAAAGCCAGGCTTGAGGTGTGATTCATGTGGTAGAGTGCGAACTGAGCAAGCAAGCTGAGCAATAAATAGTGAAGCCCAAAGTTTAAACCCTAGTACTAACAAATAAAGAGCTGGAAATAATCAACAAGGCAAAGAAATATGATTTGGGATGATGTATTCTGGTCTCCTTTGATTGTATTTTGGATTGCTATGTCTTGAGATCTGACATTCTCCTTACCTGATACTTTCCCAAAAAGTTTCACATTCCAGAATCTGGGCTGGCAGTCTATCTGATAACTCAATAAAATGAAAGAAAAACAAAAGCTAATGACCAGAGGAGAAGACCAACTGATTTGAGTCTGAGCGGCAGTCAGTTGTACCTTTGTTTTGTTTTCTGCCAGTAGTGGGACTTGAATTCAGGGTCTGGGTGCTTTCCCTGAGCTTCTTTTTTGCTCAAGGCTATCGCTCTACTACTTGAGCCACAGCTTTACTTTTGGCTTTTTGGTGGTTAATTGAAGCTAAGAGTCTCACAGACTTCCTTACCTGGGCTGGCTTGAATCACAATGCTCAGATCTCAGACTCTTGGGTAGTTGGGATTACAGGAGTAAACCACCAGCATCTGACCTGAAAACATTTTTTTGTGTATGCTATCCTGGTGCTTGAACTCAGGTCCTGGGAACTGCTGAATTTGTCTGGTGGCATCTCAGTGCCTCAGTCCTGAGCGGGAAAGCTGCCTGCATGTGTGCTGTTGGTCTGATTTCTCAAGAGTTCCTATGAGACCATCAGCCTTGCCTCAGTGCCTACAGGGAAGCGGTTCTGAGTCTGAGGTGTGAGAAATTAGCAATGTTGTTCACAGAGTCATGGACAGACGTTGGAGGGAACATTGGATCCAGTCCAATGCACAGGTAGATAAAACCCAAGGAGCCGCTCTAGACTCTAATGAGTGCATTATACAATGTTTTCTATTGAAGGATAATTTTCTCTCTATCTGCATCCATATTTCAACAAAAGATAATTATGGTAGGACTAATTTGTTATAATTTGAAGTAAGTCTAGTCTTGTTAAACTGGCCAGACTGATTATGCAAGTGCAGAATTAACAGTGATTATATGTTGTCAGTGACTGGAGGCTTGGTGTGTGTGTGTGTGTGTGTGTGTGTGTGTGTGTGTGTGTGTGTGTGTGTGTGTGTTTGTGCTGGTACTAGGGCTTGAACTTGGGGTCTTGTGTTTCTCTTTCATGGCTGGTGCTCTAACCACCTCCACTTTCAACATTTTGCTGGTTAATTGGCAATGAGAGTCTTGGATTTGTCTGCTTAAGGCTGGCCTCAAACCAGGATCCTTAGATCTTAGCCTTCTGAGTAGTCAGGATTATAGATGTGAGACACTGGTACCTAGCTTTCTTTTAGTTTGGTGTTTTTGGCACTGAGGATCAAACCCAGAGACTTGTACATTATAAGCAAGTGTTCTTTGTCCCTGAGGTACAACCCTAGCTCCAGCTGGTACTTTGTGTACCTGTGTGTATCCTGGGGCTTGAACACAGGGCCTGGGTGCCTTCCCTGAGCCTTCCCTGAGCTTTTATACTTTTTATATGTAAGGCTAGCATTCTGATACTAGCATTCTCCATTTCTGGCCTTTTTGGTGGTTAATTGGAGATAGGAGTCTCACTGACTTTTCTTCCTGGGCTGGCTTTGAACCATTATCCTCAGATCTCAGCCTCCTAAAAAGCTAGAATTATAGGCTTGAACCACCAGTGCCTGGTTAATCGGTACTTTTTTTTTTTTGGGGGGGGGGGGGTGGGTTGGTTGTAGTGCTTGAACTCAGGGCTTGAGCGCTGTCCCTGAGCTCTTTTGCTCATGGCTAGCAGCACTCTACCACTTTGAGCTACAGCTCTACTTCCAGTTTTTGATGGTTAGAGATAAGAGTCTCATGGGGACTTTTCTGCCCTCTGGCTTTGAACCTCGATCCTTAGATCTCATCCTGCTGAGTAGCTAGCATTACAGGCATGAGCCACTGGTGCTTGGCTTAGTTGGTACTTTTAATTAAGAAAAACAGATTCTGGGGCTGGGAAGGTGGCTCAGTGGTAGAGTGCTTGCATTGCATGCTCGAGGCCCTGGGTTTGATTCCTCAGCACCACATAAGCAAAAAGAAAAAAGCCAGAAGTGGCGCTGTGGCTCAAGTGGTAGAGCGCTAGCCTTGAGCTGAAGAGCTGAGGGACAGCACCCAGGCCCAGAGTTCAGGCCCCACGACCAGACCCCCCCCCCCCAAAAAAAAGAAAAACAGATTCTGGTAGGGGGGGAGGGGGAGGGGAGGAGAAGGATTGGGACTAGGGGGGAAGGGAGGAGGC